CTGCAGAGAAGGGACGGAGGGATCTGTGCCCTCCTGTCTCCCTCCCATCGCCTGCTGGGCTCCCCACTGGCCTCCCAAAGCTGGAGGGCGTTGGAACCCGGACGCCACCCGCACCACGGAGGGTGGAGAATGTGGAGGCGGGTCTGTGAGGGGAAGTGGGGCACCTCCGACGCACCGCCTCGGACTCCTGCTCGGAGCTGCATCTTTGGGGTGGAGACCATTGCTAGGGGAGGTGCTCCAAGAATCGGTGATGCCCCTGAGGGTGCAGGTCTGACCTGCAGGGTTCAGAGGCCATGGGGCATGGCCTCACCATCCTTAGCTGCCTCTCAGGGTTCCAGTGTCTGGGGAAGAGGTGACTGCTTCCCTCTGCAGAGCCCCCCGGATGAGTTGGGGCTGCCCTCCCAAGGGAGCACACGGGGCTGCGGGCCTTTCGTGGGACTCCCTGTGGCTGTCATGTTGTGCACAGGCAGTCCTGCTCAGGGGCCACTCTGTGCTCTGGCTGTGAGTCCAGGCTGGTCCCTCATTCTCGTTCACAGAGGACGCAGCTCCCGGACACGCTTAGGAGTGATTCATCCGTGGTTAGCGCTGCTCGGGCCACGAGAGTGCGGAGAGGCGGGCCGTGGGCAGCGTGGGCCCTGCACCGTCTCCGCTGGAGCCCTTGCTCCCACAGAGGCTGGTCCCTGGGTGTCCATGGGACACTGAATGCCAGGCTGCCCTCTCCCCTGGGCACCTCCAGTGAGCCTGGCTGGGGAGCTTCTGCCTGACCAAGCCCCTGACGCCCTCGTGGCGGTGGCCAGCCCCGTCCACTCTGCCCAGGATGGCCCGCTGGGCTGGGTCCTGGGAACTTCCAGCTTGGCCAGCTCCGACTTCTCCAGCCAGGGCTGCCTTTAGACGCCCCCTCACCCCTCCGCAAGGAGGAGAAACCTGGCGGTTGGCTGCTTAAGACAAGAGGCCCCGGGATGGCCTGGCGGTGGCTGGAGGGTTCATCCTGGGGCCCCATCTGGGCTGTGGCCACGCCTCTGCGCGCTTCTGTCTGCCTGCGTCTCATCCTCTTGCTAAATAAAGCAGGGACTTGGTTATGCTGACTCATCTGTCCGTTGGCCAGCCCTGACCCCTCCCACCCCTCACCTGCAGGGGCCCGGTCAGCCCCACAGGGGAGGTCAGATGCCACCCAGTACAGCAAAGCTAGAGAAGCCCCTTGGGTCCACTCTCCTGGTTCACTTTACAGACAAGGAAACCGAGGCCTAGGAGGGGCTGTGGCTTCTGTCCCATGCCCTTACAGCTTGCCCGAGTCCTGGTCCGGACCTCTTGGTGTCTTTCAGCTTGTGGGCTTCGTCTATGGCTGCTATGTGGTCAGCGTTTTCACCGAGGAGGACAGCTGTTGGTGTGCGGCTGCCAGGCTCCCACGAGAGCCCCTGAGCGACCCGGCCTGGACCCGCCAGGCAGGGGGGAAGGGACAGGGAAGCAGAAGGCACAGAGGGGGTGACTCTGCGTTCTCCTGGCCTGCTGTTGGCCAAGCCTGAGACCTCGCCTCTTAGATGGACCCCTGTGCCCACAGGGTTCCTTGCCTGAGCGGAGGGGGCAGATGGCCCAGGCACCTGAGAAGAGAGGAGGAGGAGCCCTGGGCTGTGGGCACCAGGGGTCAGCTCACTCCCAAACCCCAGGTCCCGGGGATCCCGTGCTGCAGGGTTGGCCCCCCCCCCCACAGCCCCCACAGCTGCTGCAGGTGGAAGGCTGAACCCTCAGACCCACAGGGAGGGGCCCCTCTGCCTCCTTACAGCTGACATCCCGGCCCTGCTGGCTGTGGCTGTCCCCACCACAGTCCCCCGGCTGGACCCATCTGGGCAGCATTTTGGCTTCCTGCTCACAGAGGTGAGACCCCGTGACCTTCCTCTGATTGGCAACCTGAACGCTCAGGCACACTTGCGAGCCCTGATCACCCCTGGCTCTGACTGGTTTCCTGGGAAGACCCTGCAGGGGACAAAGCCGGGGTGGGGGGGGACTGGGTACACCCAGGGGCCACGGGTCCCGTGAGCAGAACCCTCCCTGGGGTCGGTTCCCTGGGGATTCAGAGCCTCTGTTCCCAGGAGTTAGGTGGCTGTGAAGTTGGGGGTCCGCGTGTCCAAATGATACCCTGTGCTCAGGGAGCCGAGTCTGGACCAACCCCAGATCCCTCAGCTCTCGTGCTGTGTGACCCCTGGACCATCACTCGCGAGCTGAGAGAGAACAGAAGGGGCTTCGTGTGTCGGTTACATTAAAACAAACGTTTTAGGAGGAGAACCAGCCCTGGGGGGGGTCAACCTGCACGGTCACCCCAGGCCACCTCCCCCTGCTGAGGTGGTCAGCGTCCACTGGAACGTTTTCCCTGGGGAGTCCCACTGTTCATCCTCCAGAGGGACAGTGCCAGGCCTGCCCTCCCCCACAGCCCCCCAGTCTCACCCCTGCCCCCGCCCTCCCCTCCCCACAGCCCCCCAGCCTCACC